AGCCAAGTGCGTGTTGTGTGTGTGCACCAGATCCCCGAATGAGGGAGAAATGAGGCTGTGGCATGACCATTCCCCACGGGCGGTTCTTTCTCCTCTCCCTCTCTTTCTCCCTCCATTGAGTTCATGCACCAATTCTTTGAGCTACTCTATGATACTGTCTGAGTTTTCTGTTTTGGGGGTCCCATTGGACACTTTTTATTTCAGTACCCATTCATGAGCCATACCTTAGCATCTCCACAGTTCTGTACTTAGTGACCTGCTTGACATGCATTAGCCCGGTGGTCTGAGCCCAGTCACTGTGCTGGGCGGCGCTCACTGCTGTGGTGGGGTGGTCAGTCCCCTTCCATCAATCACCTTGGGCAATTCTCTTGAATTTCAGAAAGCAGATTTTGTGGTACATAAATCATATGTGAATATCTTTCTCTGTCAAAAAATAAAACACTGGGTAGATTGAAGAGAACTCTACCACTACTATATATTTTGTACTTGTTCTTTATGTTCCCATTTGGTCTGCTTACATATTTTTGATAGATTAGACTTACAAAATTGCCAATATTCAACCATTTTTGAGTTGGAAAATCAGTAGTTTCTATGGTTCACTGTATTATGTGGTGACTTCAAAAAGTAAATGAGAAAATAGAATTCTATGACCTTTTTTGGGTGTAGAAAATTTTGAAATCCTTACATGATTTTTTCACAGTGAGCATTTCCGTGAACTTTTTGCAAGTTCATTCTCGTATCTGTGCCAGTAGACTACATGTAAGACTGCTTTTAGACCACAGCACTGCTCCTTACGTATTATTCTGCAGCTTATTTTTCCACTCAGTGTCTTGATTATGCCACATGGAATTCCATATAAGTTTCTACTTACCTATTTTTAAAATTTTTTAAAGGATTATTTTATTTAAGTATTTATTTATTATTATTTGTTTTAATTTTACAAGAGAAACAGAGAAAGCAACCTACCAAATCTGAGACTCGAACCTTGGTCAGCCACATGGGAGTCCAGTGTCTTTAACCACCATGCCACCTGGCAACCCCTCTACTTACCTATTTTTTTAAATGTATAACTTTCCAAAATTTGGATTTACCATAGTTCTAGTCATTCACTAGTGATGAATATTTAGGTTCATTACAATTTCACAATGTAGTCTTGAGACTGTTTATGACTGTAACTACTCTTACTGTTGACTCTATCATAAAATAATAATACTGTCCATTAAAAATCCATTTAAATGTATTTATATTAAAGAATAGTACTGTAACATATTCCTCTAATTAGTGAATCATTTTTCAGACATTCCTTGAGAAAAGTAATCATATTACATTATGTCAGATGCTGACTTTAACTTACTACGTTTCAACTTTTTCTTTCCAGAGTAGGATATTCTCTCTTTAAGACAAAAGGATGGTATTTTACAACTTGGGGGGTCATTGGCCTCCCTTTTCTCTTTTATAGTAGCTATTAGAACTTCTTTCATGATAAGTACTCTGGAAGTGAGCAAGCCAGGGGATACTTCATTGATATGATCAGGTATAACCAAGGACTAACAGGTAGCATAGTGGTTAAAGCACTGGACTACCACGTGGCCAGCCATGATTCGAGTCCTGGACCTGGCAGCTTGAAACTTGTGTTGTGTTAAAAAATCCCGATAGGAGAATGGAGGAGACGGGATTGCAGTGGGACCATCCCCCCAGGGGGTGACTTTTCTCTTTCTGTATTTCTCTCTCTCTCTCTGCCTCTTCAGCAAGCCCATGTGCCCTATAGAAAAAAATTTCTCAAAAAAATTATACCAAGTTCTTTCTTTTGATAAATTCTTCAAAATAATTATGTTCCAAAGCAATGCTGTCTAGGTAATGTTAATTATTATAATTATTATGATTACATTTTTATAATTTTAGACTTAAAATTATATAGACTTTATAAATCATATATACCACATTAAAAACATGAACAGGTGAGACTAATTTTTCATGCTTATTATTTGACTGATATCTCCAAAATATTAACTATTTTAATATGTAGTAGTATATACAAATTAATTAATGAGGTGTTTTTTCATTCCTTTTTGCTTGCTACAATGTCTCAAAATCATTGCATATTTTACTTTATAGCAGTTTGGGCTTAACACAGTGCACGTCTTCAGTGTCACTAACATAGAGTGGGGAGTGTGTGTACTAGTGTGTGCATGTAATGTGTGGGGTCCTCACAAAGTTCATGGAAAATGCATATTATGAAAAACTTTTCATGGATTAAAAAAATCATTTTACACCAAAATAAACTTAACAATTTAATTCCATTCCTCCATGAACTTCTTGAAGTCCCTTAGTGTTACAGTTTTATGATTTCTTGATTAGAATTTCTGCATAATCAAGTCTTACTAAAAACAGGTTTATACTTTCTCATATAATAGGATTTAAAATGCTAAAGAGACAATTAAGTGAATTTAAAAGAAGTCATGATTTAGGGCCAGTAGGTAGTGTAGTGGTTCAGGCTCCGGGCTCCCACATGCTGACCACAAGTTTAAGTCCTGACCGCATAGCTTGAAACCTATGTTAGGCCCATTTGCATGCATGCCCCAGATCCTGAGAGGAGAAGGGACTGTGGCATGACCATCCCCCCAGGGGTTGATTTCTTGCCTTTCTCTTCCTGTCTTTCTGGCTAGTGCACGCACCCTATAGCAAAAATTCTCTTTTTTTAAAAAAAGAAAGGTGACTCATTATTTTAAGGTAGTGCTTTGGCATTAGTAATATAACTTGGGATTGTTAGTCTAGACTTTTACAGAAATTGTATTTCGAATATGAATTTTCTAAAGCTTTGCAGTGAAGGTGATGCACTTGGAGATGTAGCTTCACGTCTGTGCGTTCTGCTTTCTGCAGGCCTCCACCGCGGACACCCCATCCTGCAAGGACGAGGAGGAGAACTCCATGCACAACACAGTGGTGCTGTTCTCCAGCAGTGACAAGTTCACCGCGCATCAGGTGCGGGTCATGCCTTCTGCTCCGCAGTGCCTCCTTGCTCATTTCTGCTTTATTCCACATGCATGGAAGTTCTCTGGTGTTCATTTAGCCGTAGGGCTATTTTAGTTAAGAAGGTATTTTTAAGTAAAATCTGTGTATTCTTAGTTTGCTCTCCAATTAAATTGTGTATGTGTTCTCGATTTCAGGATATGTGTGTGGTCTGTGGCAGTTTTGGCCAAGGAGCAGAAGGAAGACTGCTGGCTTGTTCTCAGTGTGGTCAGTGTTACCATCCGTACTGTGTCAGTATTAAGGTAAACACACTTCAGCGAGTTAGCAAACATACTGGGTTTGATTGGATTTGAGTAGTACATGCCACTCCTAGTTCTTACGATTATTCAAGATATTTGTTATAATTACAGTACATATGCAGCAATATCTGTGTCATTCAGGTACTGCTTTCAAGTACTTGTTCCCTCAATAAATTTCTCTGTGAACTTACAGTCTTAATGTGAACCAAGTATGCTGCCATTCTCTTAGCAATGTAAAATGTGAAAACGCGTGTTTGGGGTTGGGGGCAGGCAGCAGTGGTGCCGTGGGAGCGCCATACTCCGAGGGGCTGGACTCACGAGGGAAAGTCCTGTGTCCTGACCCTGACTAGAGCTCCCTGTGTGTGCTGGGCTGGGACTCTGGCTGTTGTACAGACCAGGGCTGGGCGTATGGGAGCCCTGATGGGCTTGGTGCCTGCCTGCTTCTTTCTCTCTCCCAAGAAATAAAATAAGCTTATGAAATGCATTTAGCTGAAAGACACCTTAGTCTGACTGTACACTTACTTGCTAAGGCATTAGATTTAGGTGGTTCACTTTGCTGAGAACGAAAGTTGAGAACAACTAGATTACTTGACATTCATTAGCCCGTAATTCTTCCACATTCACTCTCAACCTTTACCCATACACACACAGACGTTTTCTTCTGGTAGCTGAAAGAAACCAAACAGGTGTCATGCTCCATGTAATTCCATAATAACCAGGAGCCACAGCACTGGGTTCCAGACACTTATAGGGGAGCCTTTAAATGGCAATCATGCACTTCGTTTCAAAGGCTATTTAAAGACAGACATGTCTCAGTCAGTACTTCAGCTGTTGTACTCATTTTTTTTTTTTCTTTTTAAAATTTATTTCCAAGAGCTCAGTGTTGGACTGGCCCCATGGCATAGTGTTTAAGGGAGCTAGATTCCACACGGACAACAGCTTGGTTTGAATCCTGACCCCGGTGACTTGAAAAAACACACTGGACACATGGCACTTGTGTCCCAAGTCCTAACAGAATAGAGACACAGAGAAGGGAATTGTGGCATGGTTGTGCCCTGCTGGGGGGCCTGCACCCTCTCTCTTGTCTTTGTCAAGTGCATGCACCTCTAGGGGGAAAAACTCAGTCTAAATAAAACTTGCTAGTTGAATAAAGCAGCAGAATGGGGACTGGAAGGAAGCACGGGGTGTGTCTGTTCAGTAGGGTCCTCTGTGTGCCCCACGACCAGTGCCTTTCTAGGGTTATACGAATACTTGCCTCAGCTTCTCTGGTCATGGCTCACCCTGAACCTTACCACTAATTTTTACCTGTTTCTCTTCTGCCCTTCAGAACACCAGTGTTTTATCATGGATTTACCCAAATGCCAGTATAGAAAGAAATCATGTACCCTGTGGGATTTTGTTACTGATAACTACACTGCTGTTCTTTTCTAGAGTAATAAAGTTGTTTCTGACTTTAGGAATCAAAGTTAAAAACTGTACTTAACCTATTCAAATAGAAGAGTAGTACAGTTATTTTATGTGCTTTTCTAAAATTAGTTGCTCATGGGACTAGCAGTTGGCATGGTAGTTAAGAGTGCTGGACTCCCACATGGTTGACCATGGTTCGAGTCTCTGTCCTGGCTCCCTGCTTTCTCACATTCTCTCTCTCTCTCTATCTCTATCTCTGTCCCTCTCTGGTCAAACTTAAATAAATAAAAAAATGAACAAATAGGGAACCAGCAGTTAGCGTAATGGCTATGTCGCTGGACTCCCACGTAGTCGACCACGATTCGCATCCCAGACCTGGTAGCTTAAAACTCACGCCGGGTGCATGTGCATGCATGCCCAAGATCCTGAGAGGAAAATGGAGGAGAAGGGATTGCAACATGACAATCCACCCTGGGGGGTGATTTCTCGCTTTCTGTCTCTATGTCTCTGTCTGTCTGGTGAGCACACGTGCCCCTCTCAAAAATAAAAAAAAAAAAAAGAATAAATAAAATTAAGAATTAGTCATTCACAATATTTTCACTATAAACAACACACAGTGTATCGATGGTTTAAAAAAATAGAATTAGATATGCACAGAACAAACAGAAGTTTTTTCCTCTTTGTATCTTTACGTTCTCGTTAAGTTTTGCTGCTGCTGTTAGAATTTGTTTTCAAAATACTTCCATTTCTTACCCAAGGGCATGGAGGAAGATCTGTCAGGATGGGATGTAAGGTCCCTGAGCCAGCCTGATGCCTGCCTATGACAGCTCTCCTTACCTGCACTGGGAAGGCGGTTCAGGAGAGAAGTGGGGACAGAAGGGCTTCTGCTCAGAACGGTCGTGTTTTTATTAACTCGTCCAGCAGTGCTCAGTTCTCATTTTACAGATAAGTGAAGCTACAGTGAGTTAAGATCAGACAGTACACTGTCAGACAACTCATTTCTGGCAGAGTGGGGGGTTAAGTGTGTGGTTTTTTAACCGCACACAGTTCCTTTCATACCACAAATGCCACTGTGGGCAGGACAGGACATCGCCCGTCATTAGTGAGAGCGTAGCCTTGCACTAGGGACAGGTGAATTGTTTCCGCTTGTTTTTGTTGTGACAGGTCTTTGTGAAAAAGTTGGATCTTATTTAAGGAGTTTCCTTTTGGGGCCAGCAGGTGGTGTGGTCGTTAAGGTGCTGGATCCCCACGTGGCCCACTGTGGTTCAAGTCCTGGACCTGATGGCTTGAAGTCATGCCAGTACCTCAGGATGCATGCCCAAAATACCAAGAGGAGAGGGGAGGAGGAGGGGTTACCACGTGGCATCCTCCTGGAGGGTGATTGCTCACGTTACCTCTTTCTGGTGAGCTCACCACCTTATGACAAATCCTAAAAAGAAAAAAACAAACAAAAAAACAAACAAAAAAACCTTCCTTTAAAATTTTCTGGGATAGATCTGGAAATTGTTCCCCTTAGGGTGGCTGTTCTCAAACTTTTTGGTTTTGGAGCCCTGAACACACTTAGAAATTATTGAGAGACCCTGTAGAATATTTGTTTATCAGGATTTAGCATTTTAGAGACTTAAAATGAAAAATGCTGGCCCACAAGTGTGTACAGGTCCACACTGTACCCTCAGTTCTGCGACGTCCTATGTGTCGCCGCTCAGAACCACGGCACACTCGGAGGGCATTAAAGTGAGAGGACGGATTCTACCTGAATAACCGTAGAAATCCCTTTGACCTCACACACCCTCTGGGGTTCTCTAGACTGTGCCTTTTCAAAAAAGTATTTATTTTATGTATGTATGTTTGCTCTAGGGATGTGTACCTACCAGAGGGTTGAGGGAGTGAGAAAGCAAGCCACCAGGTCCAGGACTCAGACTGCGGCTGACCATGTGGGAGTCCAGGCCCAGGTCTCAAACCACGGCTGGCCGTGTGGGAGTCCAGTGCCCCAACCACCATGCCAGCTGCTGGCCCCTCTAGGCTGAACGTTGAGAACTGCCGTTGTAGTGCTAGCTTACCAAGTGCTAGTTGAAGGCTTCTGGGGCATTTGCAGGATCCTACCCCTGTTATCCAGTGTCTACACTGTGACTGCTTGGGAGTCATATCTTCCAGCCTATGTTGGCCCTGGCAGTTGCTCAGGTCACAAATTCCCAGTTGGTATTTGCCCTGGTGGTGGACTCTTATTTATAGCCTGGGGGATGTGCAGCGTGGTGTCAGCCAGTGACAGTGACTCGGGACTGTGTGGACTTCTGAGCTCTTGCTCATTGCGGCTTCCTTTCCGGTCCTCTGACCTGCAAATTCCTGCTCCCGCAGCCTCTCCTCAGCTCAGAGGGCCATTGTATTCTGCCCCGGGGTGTCTGCTCCTGCATTCTGGGTGCTGGCCACAGGCAGAGAGCACAGGTCAGGCCTGCCTGTCCTCACCTCTCGGAGGTCATAATCCTGGGTTGCGAGGTGTCCAGACTGGGAAACTGCAGTTGGACACATCTTGCCCCATCTCCTAGTCCCTGATGATGGGGAAAAGACTGGCCCGGTGGCTGTGATTTCCACCTGGTACCGTATGAGTCCTGGACAGCACCCTGCTTAAAAGAACTCTCAGAAACCTTCGCTGAGCCAGTTTCACAGCGGGAAAATGAATTGATAATTAAACCCTAATGTCTAGGGTAAGAGAAAGGTCAAAAGGGAAAAAATGTTCACGTGTCGAAATATTGCAGAAGGGTAACACAAACACCAAGGTGTGACTAGATCCCAGAGTCAGAGTCTCGACTGGGTAACTTGCACGGTTTCGGTGGAGTGGCCATGGAGACCGGGAAGCAGCGTGTGAAAGAGTAGATGGAGACAGAGCCTGTGAGAGTCGGGCTGTAAGGGGCCACAGGGTAAGTATCTGTGAAGTGAGAAGATGCAGGGGTGAAGGCATGTGTGTGTGCGTGGAAAGATACAGAAATGAAGCAAAGGCAGGGATGCGACCCTCTGCTGCCGAGCGCCTTAGATCTGTCTGCTCCTCCTCTAGGCCCTCTGCGTCTCTTCTGAGCCAGGGTTCGCAAACCATGGCCCACGGGGCAAACCTGGCCTGCTGCCTCTCTTTGCAAACGAACTTGTATTGATACACAGCCGTGCTCTTTTGTTGTGTTCTCTGTAGCTGCTCGTTCACTGCAGTAGCACAGCTGCGTGTTGGCACAGCCATCATGGCCACAGCAGCCTAGAATATTTGCCGTCTGGTTCTTTACAGGACGTTTGCTCACTACTGCAGTCAGCCACCCTGCTTCTTCCACCCTAGGCCCTTTCCTCCCTTTGAGTAAATAATATAACTTTGTAATCTAATCCTAGTTTTAAAAAATCAGTAGGTTAAGCGGAATGACAAGTACACATCCTTAGAAAATCACGTGACATTGAAAACTTCATAATGAACAACCCGCCCTGTCTTATTCCCCCCTCCATCTGAGATGACCACTCAGCCACATTTTTCTTGTTGCACCGCATGGCGCATGCTCTTCCCATAGAAAGACAGTGAGAGAAAAGTGAGAAACCATCCCCCCCCCCCAGTGGGCATGGCCACACTGTAATCCATTCTACTCTTGGGATTTCGGGAACACATGCACACACACCCAATGTGATTTTCAAGCTGCCAGGTGTAGGATTCGAACCGTGGTCAGCCATTGTGGAGAGTCCAGAACCTTAACCACCACACCACCTGTTGGCTCCTCTTGTAGGGCCCAGAGGGGGTCACTTTTAATCCTATCAGGTATGTCTTGTATAATAGTTAGCTTTATAGTTTTAGATAATAAGCTCGTGCTACTGCTTTAGCAATGTTGGATTTTGTTGACCTCTTCCCATAAGTAAATTCCAGTTTAGCTCTTAAAATAACCCCCTGCCTTTTCCCAGCATCCTCCCCATAGAGTCAGATTACCACATTTAGTAAAAGTAATAAAATGTCAACTGTGACTAAGTGGTCATTGCAGATTAAAATAGTGTATTAGACTTGGTTTTCTGAGGATTTTTTTTTTTTAAGAGAGATTTTTGCTTTCAGGGCATGTACACTCACTGGAGAGACAGACAGAAAGTGAGAAATCACCCCTCGGGGGGATGCCACGCCGCAGTCCCTTCTCCTTATTCTCCTCTCGGGCTTTGGGCACGTACACACACGCACCCAGTATGTTTTAAGCCCCCAAGTCTGGGACTCAACACTGCGGTCGACTATGTAGGAGTCTAGTGACCTAACCGTTATGCCGTCTGCTGGTCTCCTGTGGCATTTTTAGTAGCAAGAAGAAGACTCATTAGTCTTGATTCATTTTTGTTGTTTTTACCTCCCGTGGAAGCACAATCACTTCAGATTATATCAAATGTCTTCTTTTCTTGGAAGAGTTCTACTTCTTCCTGGGCTTCCCGTTTTTCTGCTCTCACCCATGCCCGTGTTTCCCATGTCTGTTGGTCAGCTCTCAGCCTTGAACTTCCTTGGGCTGATAACCTTTGTTGGAGTCACTGCCATGTCTTCCTTTTCTTGATATGTGTCCTCGTTCTGTCCCACTCATCTCTTGGTACCTTCGTTAGGAGTAAGCGGGAGCTGAAATGTGAGTCCTCTTATATCTACAAGGCGTCCGCCCTTCACACTTTTTTAGCTGGGTTAAGAGCCACACTTGGAAGGCCACAATTGAGGCATGACCACGCCTCTTAGGGCACTTCTCACTATGGGGTCTCCCTCTGCTGAGGGCACATTCGTAAAGTGTTTCCTAAAGAATTTAGAAACAGATACACTCTTCTAGATCCAGAGTTGGGAAGTTTGCCTTTGGATTTCTCCCTTTTATTTTCCTCTCTGGCAGCTCTTACACATTCTCATTCCTCGTGATCTGAACTCTGTACCTCATTTGCTCGCTATTTCAGGCACTTTGTGGTTCTTTGTATCTGTAGACACTAATCTTTTGAAATGTTTAAGAAGGTTCAGAAACTTTTTTAAAAGTTTTATTTCCAGAGAGAGAGAAAAGCACGTACCACCTGCATGGTCTTCACTCTGCAAACTCCAGAGCCCTGCAGCTGTCCACGGTCCAGCCTTCCCACATGGCCTCCAGCACTGTGCCCCGGCACCCCCCGCCCGTGGTGCCACGCTGGTCCCAGACTCAGTACTCCTTGGAGTTTCTTCTTCGAGGAGTTTATCAGGAATACAGAGCTGCTTAAGTTTTCTAGTTTAGTTCTTTGGGACCAAGGAGGATAAATAGGGAAGGTAACATCGAACTTCAAGTCCCAGCCCAGTAGCCTGTAAACCTTCCAAGATTCCAACGTGGTCCTGGGAGCTTAGGCTTTTACCTTTTTTTTTTAAAAATAAGATTTATTTATTTATTTAATTCCATCTGTTAGTATTATTTTTAATTTGACCAGAGACAGAGAGAGAAAGGGAAAGCGAGAAAGCAAGCCACCAGGTCTAGGTCTTCAACTGCGCTCAGCCATGTGGGAGTCCAGCCCCTTTAACCACCACACCACCTGCCGGCCCCTTATGTTTTATCTTAATTTCTTTTGTATTTTTCCTGTTGATTTTAATATCTGAGTCCCTATGACATGTTCACAAGTGTCAGGAGCATGAAATCAATGCAAGTGCCATAAATGGAGTTTGTTGATGTGCTTTCAAATCCTTTATCAACACTAATGTGTCAGCTTCTCCGAGTTCTTGAAAACGATGCCTGTTTGTATTAACCTGCTCAGTAGGTCAGTTTCTCGAGGCGTGAGCATGCCTCACCAGCATAGGGCCACAGGAGGTGCCTGACAGATGGTAGTTGCCTGCCTCTTTGCTGCTGCTAGGTCCATAAGCACATTGTTAGTTTATATAGTACAGTCATGCAAAATGAGATGGAGGCGAATTTGTAAGCCACATGACCTGCTTGTTTCTTTTGCAGATCACTAAAGTGGTTCTGAGCAAAGGCTGGCGGTGTCTCGAGTGCACTGTGTGCGAAGCCTGCGGGAAGGCCACCGATCCTGGAAGACTCCTTCTGTGTGATGATTGTGACATAAGTTACCACACCTACTGCCTGGATCCTCCACTGCAGACAGTTCCCAAAGGAGGCTGGAAGTGCAAATGGTACTCCAGGATTGATGTCTGTGGTCATGGCGTTAGTCTCTCACGTTCCTAACTTCCCCGTGCCACTTGAGTTGTAAAGATTAGCCACATCTGTTTAATCACGTAGTGCACACTTACCATTGGTAGGTGTCACTGACCAGAAAAAGTTCACTTCCACGCTAAATGCTTCCCTCCTGTCCTGCTCACATCTGGCATTAGTAACCAAGTAAATAACACAGACTTTGGGGGGGGCTTGGATTCCAGGTGTGTTTGGTGCAGGCACTGTGGAGCGACGTCTGCAGGCCCCCGATGTGAGTGGCAGAACAATTACACTCAGTGTGCGCCTTGTGCAAGCTTGTCTTCCTGCCCGGTCTGCTGTCGCAGCTACAGAGAAGAAGATCTCATTCTGCAGTGTAGACAGTGCGATAGGTATTGTGCTTTTTCTTAAAAAACAAACAAACAAACAAAAACCTTTTGCAATCCTTTCTCGAATATAGTGAAAAGAAATTGGAAAATAAATTTCCTCAATGATAATTTAAAGAACTAAATGTTTTTTCTTTCTATATTTTTAGCTAGAAACTTATCAAAGTGGTTTCCTGTTTTGAATTCTCAATTCCAGACTAAATTTTTAACTTGAGACTTTTTTAACAGTTTATGAATTTCTTGAAATTCGGTCCTTTGAGAATATTTTGTGCATATGGAGTCACACCTTATCTGCAGGGGGGTTACATTCCAAGACATCTGGTGGGGGCCTAAAACCTTGGGTAGTGTCTAATGTTACATGTGCTGTGTATTTTCCCCTGTACATACATACTGTCATAAAACTTAACTCATAAATGAGGCACAGTAAGAGATTAACGACAGCGATAATGAAGTGGAATAATTACAACTATATGTTATAATAAAAGTTAAGTGAGTGTGGTCTCTCTCAGAATACCCTAATGTTTCAACTCATCTGTTTTCATATTGTGGGTAACAGAAACTGGCGGAAGCAGCACTTGTGGCTACAGGGAGACGGCTGTATACGCATGTTCCTACAAGGCTTTCTCAGCCCTGTGTTAGATTCTGAAAGGGACTTCGCACGTTGCACTTTTCTTAACCAACATTTTCTTCTAGCTCTACATACTAGATATGGAGGTATCAGAGACAGCATCTCCCTCCTTCCCTAAGTGGTATGCATGCCCCTTCAAAATTGAGAATGTTTCCTTTGGGGAACAGCAGGTGGCGCAATGGTTATGTTGCTAGACTCCCACATAGTTGACGGTGGTTCAAGTGCCAGACCTGGCGGCTTAAAACTCACGCTAGGCACGCGTGTATGTGCCCAAAGTCCTGAGAGGAGAGTGGAAGGGAAGGGATTGTGGCATGGCAGTCCCCCCTGGGGGGTGATTTCTCGCTTTCTGTCTTTCTGGCGAGCACAGGGGCCATATATCAAAAATCTCTTTTTAAAAAAAGAAAAAGAAGGTGTGTTTTTTGCTGTATTACTGTTCTCTGTTAGCAGTTAAACACTGTACACGTGATATTAACTGTTTTATTTCATCAGTCGTGCAGTGCTGTTAGGACTCAGCCTGGAGAGTTCTTGTTTCAAGGCAAATTAGCTTTATTTCCTCGTTACCACGTAACAGCCCTTCACGCAGGTCCTGCCTGAGTCACAGGAAGGGTATCTCGAGGCATGCCCGCACACTCGGCCATGGCAGTCTGCTGAAGCCCGTGCTTGCTGTGACTGGCTTCCTGTTCTCTGTGATTACCATACGGAATGTGTGACCCTAACGTGATGGTCCCATCCCACGTGCACAGTGTGTTCTTCCTCCCTCTTGCTTGTTCTCCTCCTTTTTCTTTCCTTCGTGTCTCTGCGGACATTTCTGTGGGTCAGTAAGGATAGTTCGGAGAAGAGGATTAGATGGGCAGGTTAGGAGGAGCTGGGGCGGGGATGAGGGCTTCAACATTTGAGGACTGTGGGCTCCTGTTGCAGCTTTTAAAAGGAAATTGTTCTTAGCGTATTCAGTTTGTTAAAAGTGCAAATGTGATCTTTTCAGATGGATGCATGCAGTTTGTCAAAACTTAAGTACTGAGGAGGAAGTGGAGAATGTAGCAGACATTGGTTTTGACTGTAGCATGTGCAGACCCTACATGCCTGCCTCAAACGGTAAGAGATGACTCCCGCTAGCTCAGGGCTCAGCTGCTCATGTGCACCCTGTGGGCCCTCAGCGGGGGGCAGGCCCTCACGGGGTAGGGGGGGCAGCTGCTTCCTTGTGGTCTCCATGGTGCTATTTTTGGACAAGTGTTGCATGAAAAAGTCAATTATTTTTCCTTGTAAATTAATTCTTAGGATGCCAAGATGATGTGTTAGGACAGTTCACATAAAGGGAGAATAGGAAGCTTACATTTTAAATGTAAGAGGACTTTTCAAGGAACACGACGCCGTGGTTGTTGCAATGCGGAGAGACCCCGTACACCCATCTTCACCTTCGCAGCTTCTCCTTCCTTCCTGTGCATTTCCTTCAAGTCTACCTGCTACATTTGTTGTTACTTTAAAAACCACTTTTAACTCTATTTAGTGTTCAAGCATTTATTTCAATAAAGTTGGTAAATATTGGTACATGTCACCTTCTGAAAAAATGACCTGGATTTTTTTTTTTTCCATTTCAGTGCCTTCCTCAGACTGCTGTGAATCTTCACTCGTAGCACAGATTGTCACAAAAGTAAAAGAGCTAGGTAAATTTAGAAATGCTTTGAAATGCTTCATTGATTATTCTTTAGAAAAGCATAGAAATGCTTAACTTTTATATCACGGGCTTGCCACATTATGTGGAACCTGCTGTAGTCATATCAGTATTCATTGCCAGTTTACTAATGTTGATAATCATTTCTATAATGTAGAATATGGGATCTATAAAATGTGTATCTTACTCAGTTTTACTGAGACAGTATTCCTACAGATTTCAGCAAGTTGGGAGTGGAAATAACAGTTCCTAGAGTGACCAGTATTGCCATATTTGCTTCAGCTTCTTTGATGCGTTCCTGTGCTTAGTTACCAGTTGGCAGAAGATAAGACCTAGCTGACAGATTCGTTTGCAATTAATCCAGTCTCTTACTGTTTTTTCCTGTCATCGTTCAACCTAGAATGGTGTTTAATATGACACTTTTATTAAACAATTACTCAATGGACTGCTTCAATTTAGTATCATCTGATATAAAAACATTTGGACAGACAGATTTATTCTAGTGAACGATAGTTTTGTACATTTAAAAGTTAAATCTATTGGGCTTATATTTACTATAAGTACTTATTTTCTTTAAGTGATTGTATTAATACTTTGGTTTCCAAATGAACTGGAGTATTTTTGTTTCTTTTATATAATTTGACCCTTATTTTTTGGTCTTTTCTAGGAAGAGGCTTATACATACTTGAGTAGCCTGAAATATTTCTCTGAGCTTCAGTACTTTCTTTCTAAATCTTTATGTTAATAGATGAAAATAGAAATGCCAGGAAGGCTATTTTTTTAAAAAAAATATGCAGCCTTTCTGCCTGTAGTCTAAGAAAGTTTGGCAAATTATTTCTAGTTTTAATTTGGTATCATTAAGTTAAATATGTTGTGTGTGTTTTATAGACAATTGTTGTATAAATCTATACTCACATTCCCTTGACATAGCACTTAAGAATAACAATTTATTTGTCAAAGTTAAGATGAGAGTTTAAATTTGTGTCTTGGGATTTTATCATTTTAGATCCACCCAAAACCTACACCCAGGATGGTGTATGTTTGACTGAATCAGGGATGACTCAGTTACAGAGCCTCACAGTTACAGTTCCAAGAAGAAAACGGTCAAAACCAAAATTGAAATTAAAGATTATTAATCAGAATAGTGTGGCTGTCCTTCAGACCCCTCCAGACATGCAATCAGAGCATTCAAGGGACGGTGAAATGGACGATAGTCGAGGTAATACTAACCTCTGTTCCAGGACTACCCACATAGCACTGAAGCACGTGGAGCAACTTTTCAAATGTGTCTTAGTGGTAGGTCACACTTGCCTTTCCTAAAAGTGTTTGTAGACCTTGCCTTTCAGGTTTTCTTCCTTTCCCGTATCTTTTTAAAAAGACCTACTTTATTAAAATCTCTAGGAGCACCATCTCTTTGAAGGTCCCCCGTGGGGAAATTCAGAGGGCTGGACCCCTGAGTGTGTTGGTTATCAGCACAAGCCTTTTCCCTTGCCACACACGTGGGCACCAGGTTCAGGTTAGAGTGTAACCTGATCCAGGCATTCTGGAATTGGAAGAACTGTCACTGGTACATGGAGGTACATTTGTATTTGTACATGTTCATTGTAAACCTTCAGTGTGTGAACGTTTTCTCGATCAGGGTCTCAGTTGGGGCCTATTCCGTCTCTCTGTACTTCCCCTATCACGGGATGCGTGATTAGAATGGCTCAGCAACCGCTCTGTTCTCTGTTTCGTATTTGGCATTGTGTAGGGATTCTGTATTTGATAGATTTTTCCAATTTTTATCTGCAATTTTACTTTTTTTTTTTTTCCAGAAGGAGAACTTATGGATTGTGATGGAAAATCAGAATCTAGTCCAGAGCGGGAAGTTGTGGATGATGAAACTAAAGGGGTAGAAGGAACAGAGGGTGTCAAAAAGCGAAAAAGGAAACCGTATAGACCAGGTATAGTACCTGAACAAGGCATTGTGACATAGCCAGAGCTTAGGTAATTCAAGGAAATTCATCATTGAGGACTTCATTTTTAACAGGATGATCCAGATCAAATATAATAACAACTGTTTAAACTTGTGTGTATAAATTAAAGAGCTGAATTGTATGAATATGCATTATTTCCTCTTAATATGTACTTCTGCAGTTCCTTTAACTTTCAGCATTCACTTTTTCATAGTTTTATGGTTTTCAAACCTTATTTCAGCATTTATGTAGGCATGCCAGTACATGTATGGTGTGAAGGTGAACAAGACCGGGGTTCGTAAGCCTCCAAGAATGGGTAGCCTAGTTTGTACTATGGCTGATGAAACATTCTCTCATTAGCTGTCTGCCTTGGTGGTAGAGAGAGAAAGCTGCCTTGCTTGTCAAATTTTATTTACCTTACTGAAAAAAAAATTATGAAAATGTCACAATACAGAGGTTGTACACTTTCTTTAGACAATTTAGTAATGTCTATTTACTAGTCTGTGAGGTATTTAATTGGATCAATACATTCTTTTTAAACTTTTTTTGTTGTAGGATGCATGTGCTCGCCAGAGAGACACAGAGAGGGAGAGAAAGTGAGAACCCACGCCAGGAAGAATAGGCAAGCTGTTCTCTCAGGATTTTAGGCACATACACACACATGCCCGATATGTTCTTCAAGCCCCCCAGGTCCAGGACTATAGAACTGCAGAGTCAACCATGTGGAATCCAGCAGCTTAACTGGCATGCCATCTGCTGGCCCCCAGGTCACTACGTTCTTTATTCTTCTTAATTGCTTATGTTTTATTGATAAGGTAATGTAGATTCCTTTTTATACACAAGGAAGAACTTTCTCATTGCATTTTTCTTCTGCAAGACCTTAAAAGGTAACCTTCATTATAGATGGGCCACATTGGGCCTAAGATTAGTTTCAACCAAACCATTTTATGAAAATAATTTTTATTTCTTCTTAATTATGAGTCTTTTTTTTTTTTTTTATAGATTTTTGCTATAGGGCGCGTGCACTTGCCAGAAAGAGACAGAGAGACAGAAAGTGAGAAATCACCCCCCGGGGGATGGCCACGCCGCAATTCCTTCTCCTCCATTCTCCTCTTGGGATCTTGAGCACGCACGCACATGCGCCTGGCATGAGTTTAAGCCACCAGGTCCAGGGCTCAAACTGCAGTCGACTACATGGGAGTTCAGTGACATAGCCATTACGCTAACTGCTGATCCCTTAATTATGAGTATAAGTACACTTTCTTTTTAGATATTGAAAATTTCTTGTAGGAACTTGTACTATTTTGTTTTGTCTTTTTTTTTTTTATTTCCTCTGCCTTAATTGAAAATCATTCCTTTAATTCAGGGGGCTCATTAGATCACAAAGTATATTAGTAGATAATTATCATTTGTCAGAAATTGATAGTGTTGACAGTGTTCAAGGAACTGTTCTAAACATTTTACATATATTAAGTTACCCTTATAACAGATATATGAGGAGATGCTATATATTATTTTTCCAGTGAGTGAAATAAGGCACTGAGATATTAAATTTCCTAAATGTAGTTAGTAAGCAAAATTACATAGTCTGGCTCCAGATACTGTTCTAACTTCAAACTTCTGTGTTTTGTGTCTTAAGGCCTTGATAATATAGAGTAACCAGATTCAACCCCCTTATAATAACAACTGTTTAAACTTGTGTGTATAAATTAAAGAGCTGAATTGTATGAATATGCATTATTTCCTCTTAATATGTACTTCTGCAGTTCCTTTAACTTTCAGCATTCACTTTTTCATAGTTTTATGGTTTTCAAACCTTATTTCAGCATTTATGTAGGCATGCCAGTACATGTATGGTGTGAAGGTGAACAAGACCGGGGTTCGTAAGCCTCCAAGAATGGGTAGCCTAGTTTGTACTATGGCTGATGAAACATTCTCTCATTAGCTGTCTGCCTTGGTGGTAGAGAGAGAAAGCTGCCTTGCTTGTCAAATTTTATTTACCTTACTGAAAAAAAAATTATGAAAATGTCACAATACAGAGGTTGTACACTTTCTTTAGACAATTTAGTAATGTCTATTTACTAGTCTGTGAGGTATTTAATTGGATCAATACATTCTTTTTAAACTTTTTTTGTTGTAGGATGCATGTGCTCGCCAGAGAGACACAGAGAGGGAGAGAAAGTGAGAACCCACGCCAGGAAGAATAGGCAAGCTGTTCTCTCAGGATTTTAGGCACATACACACACATGCCCGATATGTTCTTCAAGCCCCCCAGGTCCAGGACTATAGAACTGCAGAGTCAACCATGTGGAATCCAGCAGCTTAACTGGCATGCCATCTGCTGGCCCCCAGGTCACTACGTTCTTTATTCTTCTTAATTGCTTATGTTTTATTGATAAGGTAATGTAGATTCCTTTTTATACACAAGGAAGAACTTTCTCATTGCATTTTTCTTCTGCAAGACCTTAAAAGGTAACCTTCATTATAGATGGGCCACATTGGGCCTAAGATTAGTTTCATCCAAACCATTTTATGAAAATAATTTTTATTTCTTCTTAATTATGAGTCTTTTTTTTTTTTTTTATAGATTTTTGCTATAGGGCGCGTGCACTTGCCAGAAAGAGACAGAGAGACAGAAAGTGAGAAATCACCCCCCGGGGGATGGCCACGCCGCAATTCCTTCTCCTCCATTCTCCTCTTGGGATCTTGAGCACGCACGCACATGCGCCTGGCATGAGTTTAAGCCACCAGGTCCAGGGCTCAAACTGCAGTCGACTACATGGGAGTTCAGTGACATAGCCATTACGCTAACTGCTGATCCCTTAATTATGAGTATAAGTACACTTTCTTTTTAGATATTGAAAATTTCTTGTAGGAACTTGTACTATTTTGTTTTGTCTTTTTTTTTTTTATTTCCTCTGCCTTAATTGAAAATCATTCCTTTAATTCAGGGGGCTCATTAGATCACAAAGTATATTAGTAGATAATTATCATTTGTCAGAAATTGATAGTGTTGACAGTGTTCAAGGAACTGTTCTAAACATTTTACATATATTAAGTTACCCTTATAACAGATATATGAGGAGATGCTATATATTATTTTTCCAGTGAGTGAAATAAGGCACTGAGATATTAAATTTCCTAAATGTAGTTAGTAAGCAAAATTACATAGTCTGGCTCCAGATACTGTTCTAACTTCAAACTTCTGTGTTTTGTGTCTTAAGGCCTTGATAATATAGAGTAACCAGATTCAACCCCCTAAAGTCATATTAATCAAAGAGTGTTTGTGTCATTTAGTTTATTTTCTGTCTTTTTTTTGGAGAGGTTTTTGCTATAGGATGCGCGCACTCACCAGAAAGTCAGAGAGAGACAGAGAGACAGAAAGCGAGAAATCACCCCCCAGGGGAGATGGCCACGCCGCAATCCCTTCTTCTCCATTGTCCTCTCGGGATCTTGGGCATGCACGCACATGCGCCCGGCGTGAGTTTAAGCCACTGGGTTCGGGACTCGAACAGCAGTCAGCTACATGGGAGTCCAGCGACATAGCCATTGCACTAACTGCTGGTCCCTATTTTCTATCTTCTATCATCCAATAATGTACAAATTATTATCCAACTGATATGCACATAGTTTTGATGTATGTGTTACAAATACTTGTTAAATAAACATGTACAATTTACTGTTGAATGTTTACTCTGACATTGTTTAGAAGAAGAAATGCATGCAACTCCTTCTGTACTCTAGCAAGTTGTAATTCCTATTGGATTCATGATAATAACTTATTTGACTTATTTTGATTTTGCTTGTTTCCAACCTTCTGTTTTGAATTAAAACAAGATTGTTGACTTAAGTTATCCTAGATTAAGTTGGGGAATGCTTCACTAAGACAAGGAATTTCATCTTATATACTATGGAAATACAGGGAGAAATTAAAATTATTTATCAGTTTACCAATTTCTTTTTTGGATAGGTATTGGTGGATTTATGGTCCGGCAAAGAAGTCGAACTGGGCAAGGAAAAACCAAAAGATCAGTGATCAGAAAAGATTCTTCAGGCTCTATCTCTGAGCAGTTACCTAGCAGAGATGATGGTAGAGTATTGATTTTGTCTACTTTAAATTCTTGGTCTTAATACCTCTATTGGAAAGACGCACCCTTATTGTCTCTTACTGATCAAAGGATTTGAATGTCTGTATTTTTATATCTGTAATACAACAATCAGGTTTGATAACGAGATGAATGAAATCCAGTAGACCTTATTCTTTTGAGATTTTTCAGTAAGTTCTTTTTTTCCCCATATTACATATATTTCATATGTTAAATATAAATAGTTTAGAGACTGGATCAGTTAGTTAATGTAAGATACTTTTTGGTCATCTCAAAATCTCAAAAAAAAGTACTTTATTTGCCTCTTAGCTACTTGAGATATAGTTTGAAATTTTAGGCCATTTAGTTGATAATCACAGAGTACCGTAAAGTTTTTAACAAAATTGTATAGTGTTTTATAAATGTATCTTTCAGTGAACATTTTGTCATCCTCACTTAAAGCTTCTTGGAAAGCTAAATCATTGTTTAAGCCGTAGCTTTCTATGGTATAAGAATGCCTAGCTTTCTTTGCTCAATTTGGGAGAGAGTTTTAATGAAGACTTTGAAATTAGTATGTTCGTGGTCTGAATGATTACATGTTTTGAAATGCTAAGATGAAGGTGAGCAAAACGAAGATGTTTTCAGCGTGTTCTTTGGATAGAGCCTTTCCTTACCTAAGAGGTGGAGATCTGTCTCAGGTGGGTTAGTACAAATTCAGTCATGCACATTTAAAAAGGAAGTGCTGTAATGATTTTCAAGAAGCTTCTAAAATGACTTAATATGGCTATAATAAGCTCTAATCAAGAAATTTGATATGTTCAATGAAACGGTTTTTGTAGTTTCTATCTCTTGTCTCTCTATTCTGTCCTCCAGATAATACCTCTAGGTCTACCTGTCAGTTCAGTAGTTTGTTCCTTCATCTGCGTCTGATTAACTTAATCTCATATATAATTTTTTTCTTTCTCTGAACTGCCTTTTTGATATTTTAACACTTTTAATTCCTGTTCTTTTTTTTTTTTTTTTTTTTTTTTTTAATTTTTTTTTTTTTTTGGGAGGGCCGCGGGG